ACGAATCGACCAAATTCCACGAGTTTGAGGCGAGTGACGTGCGGTGCCATTATTGAGTAGTACGACTGCAAGGCAAGGGTCCGACAAGAGCGCAGAAAAGGGGTACGAGGAGACGTGGGTCATTACTTACGTGACTCACGGGCGAACGCGGAGCACAAAACCACAGTACAGACCTAACTCTGTAACAAGAACGAGTAGGCCATGCACACTACGACACGCGTGACACCTATGGATGGCGTATCTGCCAGCAATACGGCACAATAATGCACAAACAGGATATACATGAATGCATGTCCTATGCGTTCGAGGTGAGCGATGTCCGAGGCCATTAATGACTAATACGGCTACAAGCCAAGGTTCCGACAAGAGCCCAAAAAAGAGTGCGGGGAGACTTGGGTCATGGTAGGCGTAACCGCAGGCGACGCAAAGCACAAAGCCACAAGGAACGAGCGCCTCTACAAGCATGGATGCAGATGCAATTATGGTAGCTGTAGTAATGGCGACCAACCCCAACCACCGACCATCTTGGGAGCAGCGTGCACACAACCCAAGCCGTGTCTTAAATGCATGGATACATGTGTAAGTACAAATGGTCCTACATGGTCGGTGAATCCTTTTTATCTGATGGTAAGGAGGAGAGGCATTAAATGTGTCCACCTGTCCGACTTGTTTTTATCTGATGGTAACATGAAGGGAGGCATCAAATGTGTCCACCTACTGTCGACCCACCTTGTGTAGGTGAAGATGTCTAGTGCTTTCAAACTTACTTAGTGAATTTCTGGATACCTTAGGGAATGGCTTTGGACACTGCTCGTTTCGTGCGCGTAAAAATCCTACCACTTTCCTTTTATTGGTCTTCGCGCCAGACTAAATAGTGGACTGCGCCAGGACCAATGACCGCTCCACCATTACAAAAGGCCTAGCCTAGCCACTTGGTACCACCACTCGGTGAGTCTCAGCTCACCTAGCCTTTTTCCTGAGCAAGCTTCTCGCTCGAGCCTTCCTTGTAACCATCATCCACCAAGGATGGCAGGAGCCTGGGTTAGCAGCTATTGCCTGAACACTGAGGGTTTTCCCAAAATCCTATATGCAACCTTGCAAAAACTCGGAGTCAAGGATCGCCCTGAGTATGAGGGTCGTGAGTATGAGAAACATGGCACTGAGCGATGTGAGGTCACTGTCTACATTGGGAAGAATGAGGAGTTCCTCGATATCACTGAAGCCTAGAATGTGACCGCAACCGAGTTCTGCTTCGTCGACACCTACCAAGCTGTGGCCCACAAAGCCTTGCAGTATCTTTGCCAGATCTATGAAGAGCCAACTGCTCGTACCCCCATGAAGTTCTTTCCACCTTTGGAAAAGAATCGACGTGTATGGAGGGCTCGCATGGAGGCTTTACAAGTGGGGGACGCGCAAGAAAACAGCCCAACTGTGGTATATCTGGCCAGGTATTTGATTGCTCTGGATGAGCAGTATGACCGGCAGGCCTTGGAGCTGAGGAAGTGCCTCCGCCGAGCTGAGGAAGTCGGGATCTTTTCCAGGATGCTCGAAGTGCAACTCACTAAGGCGCACGCCAATGTGGCAGCCGCAGAAAGTCGTGAGACTGCCATGGCAGAAGCCCTGAAGAAGGCTAAAGATCGGTGCACCCAGCAGTTGGAGGATGCTTATCTGGTCACGAGGGCCAAGCGTAGGACACTTGACACAGAAAGGCAAGAACCCTTGGTCTTGGAGGGAATGCCTGTCCACCCGCCGAAAAGAAGGAGAACCGGTGTTGCAGTACCACCAGCACCTCCACCCTCAGAGGTATCGGAAGTACAGTCCTTGCTTCCCCTCACTCAGTCACCACCACGAGATGAGGCAGATCCTTAGCCAGCATAGAAGAAGAACCAACCGAGGTCAGGAATGAAGCCGTTTAGTCCAACAAAGTAGATGAGTTGTCCTAGGGGACATGTACCCGTAGTTAGTAGTGCTTTTCATCACCATTCTCTAGTGTTGTAATCTTTCCATTGTATTTCATCCGTAGATGTTAAGCATCGTTGAGTCGTAGGAGACAAACGATGTGTCCAGAATGGGAGAGTGAGTGTTTGTATGTTGTATCCATATAAGGGCGTTTGGGACGTGCATTTTGCTTTATCCGTTGTGTTTGCTATGTCGATTTACCCTTAGACCTCGTTAGACTTATTTAGGGCTCTCGAGGCAAAAAAAAAAAGGTTACAAGAAAAACAACCATTCAGATGCAAGTAGACCAGCTATGCTTGGTTGACATAAAACACTGTATCAGCTACTTGTGGGTGTCCCAGCAGAACACTTGAATTTCCTTAAAAATTAAATCCATTGTAGGATTTGATTTCCTGGCCCCTTGCCGCGAAAGGAACCCTTGTTGTCTGAATCTTCTCTTACAATCCATTGTTAGTTTTGTGGTCAGTGACCCCACTGCTTCCATCTGAATGCTTGAGATAAGTGCTGAGATACTCCACACTTCACAGCGCTGGTATAGAGGTGGTTAACCAAGCACATTTGCCAAGTTACACCACCGTATAGCTCTCAGCAACAAAATATTCTCCTTTGGAAAATATCCTTGTGTTCTAACGGGAAATCCACAACGGGTTGACGAAGTAGTGCTTTTTCGAAGTAACTGAGTTAATACGATTTCTGAAGAGAGAGAAGAGCAACAAGGAAAAGTTAGTATCCGAGTAGTCTGGAGTGATTGAAACGCTTAAATTGACACCATGTCCTAATCCCAATGTCCGGTTTGACCGTGCTACGCACGCATCGAGACCTGTGGACGCTGTCAATACCGAGACCCACTTGCGTTCAGCTCTCGTTTGGCAACCGTTGGCAAGGCTCTGCCAACCGCTACTGAGAGGAAGGCTGGTTGTGACGCGCTTCATCTGAGCCGTGGAATTTCTATTTAACGCACCAATTAAATAGAACGTACGTGGACACTCTGGGAGACCGCCGATTTGGCGCACCATATATCTTTGTTGATGGGAAGCATCTCTCTAGGAATCTAGATTTCTCATCAGCTTCATTGTCCAAATGCAGAAGCCTTACAACCATTGACACACCAAACAATGCGTTCACAGGGAGGCTACCAACTTCAATTGCAAACCAATTTCCTTCGGTGAACTCTGCATGATGATATATCTAACCTGTCCAGAGATTTATTCCATGGATGAATACCAGGTTCATTCAGCAATATACTTAATATTGAGGAGTTGGATCTATCCTCCAATGCACTTTTCGTTGCCATCCTAAAATCCTTAGACAATCTCACTTACCTTGCCAATCTGAACCTTTCCTTTAACAGGCTGGATGGACACATGCAAGGAGGACTGGTCTCAAATATCATACTCAAATCACTGATGGGGAATTCTAAAAAAAAATCACTGATGGGGAACAATGCACTGTATGGCCTTCCCCACCTTGGTATAGCACAATGCTAGAACACCAGTAATCAGTCAGACCAAAAAGTTATAGCTAGCTACCTTAGCCACTATGGTTTTCTCTCCAGTTGCAAAGCAACACTTCTAGAACTGCACTTTTGATCTCATTGTTACAGGATATTTTCTAAGGGTGACATATTAGGATTCCTTTCATCGAAGAAAAGTACACGCAAGGCCAACACAAAATAAAATATCTTTGTTGTACCTAATAGATGGACAAAACCATACAAACCGATGGGAAGTGGACAAGGTTTCAAGAATGTATAAGCATGCATGAACCAGAACCATCACAGATGTCAGCTAAACTTTTCAAAAAAATATCACTATAACTCAAGCCAGTATACCAGCAGAAGGGATCATGGGTATTCATCATATGTATAGAACCATTCCATTTAAAAAGGCATTGGATGAAACTCGAGGATCAGTCAAAGCTCTATGCTCAGCCGCAGTTTACTACAGTCATCAGCACCGCTCACTTTGGGCTACAAATTACATGATTTCTAGAACTCCTGCATTCAAAAGTGCAAATCGGATTAGTGGAAGTACAACATACATGTTTTCTGGAATCATGACAACTTTATGGGGTAAGCTGAAATTCATTAAACAAATTGTAAAATATGAAAGAATGGTGTAGTCTAACCTGTGCATATACACGGTTTGACAGATGATACACATAAAGGACAAATTCATGTATCTGCTCACAACACTATCAGTTATGTTACCACTCACACCACTATGAGCCTGTTACCCATAGGCTCTTCAAAGCACATAAGTTTTATGGTTCATACGACCATGTTTTCACACATGTTTTCAAGGTTAATCTACAGGACATTGTTACTATAAACATTTGCAATTCTATTTTGCTAGATAGAACCAAACGATGTCTGGACTATGTGATGAAGTTGTAGGATGTAATAAAAATGCACAAGTTGGGAAGCATTCTGCAATCTGAACAGCAAATACATACAAAAAAAAGTCTGAATGTAGTAGTAACCATTATTAAGTTCACATGTTTGGAACATGGTAATGGTAGAGATCAGAAGTACATGACAGATCTAAGAATCTAACAACTCACCTAACCTGCTAGTTTGTTCAAAAGATCACAACAACGGGGACTAATCTACACAACCAGGTCTAACCAAAGTTGACTCAGAATCAGGGTGGAACATTTTTTATATATGAACGCAAACAAAAACCACCGAGTGGATCAGAAATAGAACAATGCATTTCAAATTCAAACCAGCCTTGTGTGTGCACATGAATGATGAATCCGATCAGCAATAACGATTGAAAAAAGAAAGACAAACAAACTTCAATTAGGTAGGAAAAGGCATGCATTTACCTGTATGGGCTGAGTACGGCAGCAGGGATGGGAAGCTTCCGAGTGAGCGGTCTCCATGGCTTGGTGGTGAACTCGGCCGGCTGGCCATCAGCTCCTCCTCCACCGAGGCCGCCTCCGGCATCCACCTCATTCTCCTTGGGCCAGATGGCATTGCCATAGCCATACGTCCCCTTGGTCTCAAAGAGCCAGCGGTTGTGGTCCCAGTCTCCGGTCTAGCTCCTGGTCATGGCCTTCTGGGAGCGCATAATGGATAGCCACCTCTCCATCCTGGACGTGGCGGCGCCAGGCGGCGGGGGCAGCGACAGCGTGGGCCTACCTGCCCCGGCGTTAGCATCGGCGGCACCGACGACGTCCTCGAGCTCCGTGTTCTTGTAGGGCTCCTTGCATCCCGGGCAGACGGCGCCAGCGTTCTTGACGGCGCCCGCTAAGCACTCGGTGCAGATCTTGAAGTCGCACTCGCAGGGGAGTATGTCGTCGCCGCGCTCGTCGCTCATGACCTTGGCGTCGCATCCGTTGACGGCGCAGGAGGATCCCTTGGCTCCCGCCATCTGCGGGTGGGAGGCCTCCGAGTCGATGGCTTTGTCCATGAGGTGCGCGCGCGTGACGCTGTTGAAGCCGCCCGTGAAGAGCGAGTTGGAGACGTACTGCTCCTCCACGCGCGCCGAGATGGCCGGGTCCATGGGCTGGTTGTCGGGCGTCGCCGGGATGTGCACGTGGTAGCTCGCGTACTGCTGCTGCTGCTGCTCCTCGCGGTCGGGCGACATGTCGCCGCCGATGCCGAGGTCGCTGTCGAGGTCGTCGCGGGAGTAGCTCACGTAGCGGCCCGAGTGCGTGCGGCGAGTGAAGGTGACCATGGGACGGTCGCCGGGGACGGCCGCCTGCGCGCGGGTGTCGTCGCCCCCGCCGCCGGAGTAGGACATCCGCGACAGGTGGCTGCTGTTGCTGTGGCGGAGCCCCCCACCGCCGCTGCCGTTGGAGGCCATGGCGGCCGGTCCGGGCACGGTGCTGGATCGAGCTACGGATCCGTCAGTGGTGGCGGCTGATCTGCGGATGAGGGAAGGAACCAGAAGCGTCAGGGACGGATGCAATGGAGGAGCATCAATCAATCAACTCAACCAAACAGTATTAGTCAGTCAATTAGTCAAAAACGACAGAAGATGGCAACTTTATTTTTCTTCCTTGCTAATTGCGAAAGGATGGAAAGCAAATCCGACAGGGACTGAGAAATCAGGCCGGAATCCCTGGACCAAGATTCAAAGCAAGAAGCAGCAGCGCGGGTCGCACACAGATTCAGATGGCGGAGAAGCAGGGAGGGAGGAAGCCATAGCAGGAGGAGCCTCGGCGGTCGCCGTGCCGTGCCGGGGGACGCCGCTGCGCCGCGCATAGGGTGTGGGGAGCCTCGGCGGTCGCGACGAGGAGTGAGGGAGAGAGCGAGAGCGCGGAGAGGAGAGAGAGAGGAGGGGAGGAGCGGAGCTGCTGCCGCCTGCCATTCACTCGAGTGAGAGAGAGAGAGAGAGGAAGGAGCACCATTTTACGTGTGACGACCACGGTGGAGTCCAGCTCTGCAAAGCAAACAAGGCCAGCAGTATGCATGCACGTATGCGTGCCGCCCACAAGTTAGGCACCGACCATGTCGCCTATGATCAGAGGAAGCCGTACTTCGTTTAATACGTGCAGTTGCTTTATTTATCTACTACGAAATGTACGGATGAAGGCCGGTTATGACACGCCTCATTTGAGTCGTGGAATTTCTATCTAACGCATCAAATAAAAAGAATGTACATGAACACCCTGAGAGGCCATCGATTCGGCGCGCCACATATCTTTGAGATTTTTCCCGGTGTGCCATTATAAAAGATCGTAATCCCTTGTGTGCCTCTGAAAAAATTCAGCGGTCTTCAGCGTCACTACTCCAACTTTTTTGGTCCTCCATGCCACTTCCGTCAGTTCAGACTCTAACGCCGTCAAACCGCAGGTGTGAAAAGACGAAAATGCCCTTAAGTTTAAATATGCTATTAATTTTTTTTAAGCATCTTAACGACTTCAAATGAAAAAACTCAAAACTAAAAAGTTGTAGATCTCGTCGAGATCTATAATTTTCATATAAAAATTATTTTCATTTAATTCCGCAAAAAAATATGATTTGATATGATTAATATATCTTAGAAAAATCATCATATTTTTTTGCGGAATTAAATAAAAATAAATTTTATATGAAAATTATAGATCTCGACGAGATCTACAACTTTCTAGTTTTGAGTTTTTTCATTTGAAGTCGTTAAGATGCTAAAAAAAATTAATAACATATTTGAACTGAAGGGCATTTTCGTCTTTTCACACATGCAGTTTAACGGTGTTAGAGCCTAAACTGACGGAAGTGGTATGGAGAACCCGAAAAAATTGAAGTAGTGACGCTGAAGACCACTGAATTTTTTTTAAGAGCACACAGAGGATTACGATCTTTTATAATGGCACACAGACAAAAGTCTCTCTATCTTTAATATGTAACGCTAAGCAAAGACAAGCAGTAGAGTTCCAGAAACTTCCCCCAAATATCAACATGGTGTCGGAGCCGATGGTGGTGGCGATGGAGGCGACCCCTGCTCAGTCTGAGGACGAGCTGTGAGGTGAGCGGGGTGCCGAGGCGCACGCACGGGAGAAGACAGGCGCAGCCAAGGGCGCAGCGTGGGAGAAGGCGGAGGCGGCCGGCAAAAAGGCGCAGGAGTCGAAGGAGGCCGCCAGGGGAAGGCCACGGAGAAGGCGGCGTCGGCAAGGACGCGGCGTGAAGACAACAGGCGACCTGGGTGCTGCTGACGGCGAGGCGAGTTGCTGCTGCCAGCACAGGTCTGTGTGCCTCGAGACTTCCGGCTGAGAGGAAAGCTCACGCAGCAAGTTCGTGTGCACATCAGCAGGCAGCTGTGTGCTCTGTTTTCTTGCTTTTTAATATAAGATTGGGAGTAGAAAGGAGGATTGTGTCAATTTTACCTACGGTGGAGAGGCGTGTGCTCCTGCAGCGCAGTGAGGCAATCACTCAATCAGTTGCTAGCTTGCTAGGGGCAAGTACGGGTGAGTGGTGAGCTGATTGGTAGAAGCAAGGAAGGGTTGGTAGCCATCTGGTGCATGCGTGTGTGCAAGGAGAAGCTAAATAAAAAAGAGGAATTGCTGCTTGCTGTGGGTGTCATGAGTGTGTTAGTGCTGGGTTCGGTAGGAACCATAGGCTTGAGCAGAGGAGGTGATTGTGAAGGTGGAGCAGCGTGCTGCTGCTTGGAAGGAGCTGTTTGTGAGGGGGAGCTTACAAGTTTCTGTGAAGGGATAAAGTAGAAGATGAGGGAAAATCAAAAAATCATGGAAGTTCTTAGGAGATTATCTGAATTAGAAAAAATGATAAAAGTTACTTATTATGAAAATCAGTGAGATATCATCCTCGAGTAAGGAAACCATGGAGAAAATGGAGACGATACAGAGGGTGGACGCAAGTTCTCAACATCCAATCTTTTGTCCAGTTCTCTAAGTTCCTTTTTGAAGTCATCAAAGTTCACCCTATTCTCAACTTCTTTGTAGTCAATGAGGATAGACAAGTGGCGTACAGAAGGTGGGATTTGTATGGACCTCACATTGGAACTATGTATGCTGATACATTCATGTGAAGAAACTTTCACCGCTAAATTATGTAGTAGGTCATTTACAACATAACAATGAGTGCCATTGTCTTTCTGATTCTTTTTAAGAAATCCATAATTAACCAAGTCAAGCAAATAGCCCTGTCCTATATCTTCAATTCTTTTATTCTGACCACACGAGTGTAAAATGTCTAGTCCTATCCATAGATGAATTAGCTCATCATTACGAAATTCATAATCTTCAGGAAACAAAGCAAAATAGGAAAATCATTGCTTTAGAGTGAAAGGAAGGTAATTATAGCTAAGCTTCAATGCTGGCATAATTTCATTCTCATTTGTTTGTAATTCCCATTCTTTGCTTTCCAGAACTCTATTCCAATGTTCCAAAGTAAGTTGGTTTCTTAGTAATCTTCCTACAGTTTTTGCCGCAAGAGGAAAACCTTTCAATTTGCTCACTATTTTTTCCCCAACGTCACATAATTCAGAATGATCTTTCCATGGCTCCTGGTGACCAAATACACATGCTTCAAAGTTGTCTTCAATACTACTTGTGTTTTCACTACTACTTGTGTTTTCACCATCAACTTTAGGAATTATTTTCACAGCTTCTTGTGCCAACCTACTAGCATTAAAATTGAGGGAGACACATACCCAAATTGTGACTGCAAAATGACCCTTCACTTCTTTATATATGTGTTGTGTGAAAGTTGTCTTCCCAATACCCCCCCGGACCAACAATTGGAAGCACCACAAGGTCATCTGCAAAATATTTTCCGTGGGTAATGCCGTCTATAATACTCTTTTTCTCAGTTTCCCTCCCATATAACTTAGGCTCTATAATTTCTGGAGTGGTTTTGGGATGGTCCATAGCACTGTTTTGGGTTGGAGGAGCGTAATTGCTCTAGCTTAAGAATAGCAGAACCCAAGAGCTCAATATCAAGAATGGTGGAGACCTTGGCAGATACAGGCCTTAGCTTCTCTACAATGTCTTTCATCTTATTGGATATCTCCACCCTGTCAAACTTCAACTTTGGTAATTCAAAATCACGTTTTCCATCTTGAATCTTGGATGGGCAAGCACAGCAGAAGCTTGGCCATCCATTTGTTGGCATGTTGCCAGAGCGAGCATTATTATTGTGGACGCATGGGAATGAGTAGCATGGGAGGCGTTTACCGATAGTATGTGCAGCCCGGCGGTCACTGGAAGCCACCTTTGACATGCACCCGCCATTCTGGTCGCTGGGTGGATCTGGTGTGGAGCCCATGTCACGCCCGCCACACGAACTGATGCCAGAGAGGCATCCTTGCTTTGCATCATCATCTTCATGCCAGTGAGGATCGCCACGGCGTGCTGCACGCGAGCCTGAGGAGAGCTTAAGCTGCCTAGCAACATGTCAGCTCTGGCAGTGTGGCGTGCATTGAGGAAGAGACCGGGCACGCATCCCCCATCGTGCACGTCGGCAGCATGGTGGGTGCGGTCGAGCTGGTCCTGGATGCGGAAGTACTCGAGCTCGTCGAGCACGTCGTCGGCGCTGTAGGCCAGCTGCTGCAGCTGGAGTAGCATCTCCTTGAGCGTAGGGCTCCGGATCTCCCGCCCCTGCGCGTTGTCGAGCATGCCCTGCGCGTAGAGGAGCTCCATCTTGAGGGCGTCGATGTTGGGGCCGAGCCCGGCACTGGCCGCCCACGCCTCAAGCAAGCCGTCTGTGACGGGGCCTAAGGCCTTGCCCAGCACCCAACTTGCCGCGCTGACAGCGAATTCCATCCTCAGGGCGGATCGTCTTTGGGGATGCTGCAAGGTATGTAAACCAATTCATTTTCAAATGCAATTAGGCACTATTAATTAAAGCTCATGTTTTGCGAATGATGGTAGTAATTTCTCCAAGTTCTGCTTCTGCCGAAGAAAATAAAGAAGTCAGTGAGGTGTACTACGTACCGGAGGTGGACCGGACACAATGGTGGGAAGGCTGGCGTTGAGATGTGGTGGAGCAGACGTTGCAGCGTAGAGACTTGCTTAGGAGTATTTCCTAGTCAGTAGTACAGTGGAGGTTGCGTCAGGGGGTGCATTCCAACACCGAGGCCAGGTCCATCTAGCCTTCGTGGTGATGGGCGTCCCATGGCAGGCTCGCAGCAGAGCATCGAAGGCTGCAATCTGGGAATAGAAAGAGATCATTTCAAGTTAAGCACGAGGAGCGAGCCTTGTGATGATGCATCTCAGAGCTCAGAAGACGAGAGCACCAGGCCTTGCTTAGATTGCAAGTTTCTTCACTCTTTCTCCATCACATCAAATCTTTGGACACATACATAGAGTATTAAATATAGATAAAAAAATAACTAATTACACAGTTTAATTGTAAATTACGAGA